TAACTCAGTTCTTGCAGCTTGGCAGAGTGAACAACTATGGAGACCCTCTGGAATTAAGGAGCCACGTGCAGACGAATGTGGGGTAGACTCCCTCCTCTTCCAGGCCCTGAGAGGTGTGTCCTTTCAGAACACTGTGGGGTCTCACTGGGGGAACAGGTTCAGGGAGTTCACTCTTCACTGTATCACCACACAGGCTGTCTGCTGCCGGGATCTCCAGCCCTGCTTCCTGGGACACCCAGTCAAGTTTCTAACGACTGGGAACACCTCTCAGTCACCGATCAATTAATGAAGTAATCCGCTGAATTAAATTAAACTTGGACCTTTACAGCTGAATTTACAGGCAGTCCCAATCAAGACTTTGGTCTCTAATTAACGCTCTCTAAATTAAACAAGCTCCTTTGCTTAACTGATCACAAAGAAGCCGGCTGAAACCAGGCTTCACGTCCCACGTATTTATCATTTGCTATGTCTTAGCAGTTAGTTTTTATGCTGCATTAGAACACTGTTGGGTGACAAGACTCCAAGAAGAAGTTGAGAGGAGACCTCTGATGACGTAAAAGATGATTTCATTGTGTTAATCGGGGGCACTTAAGGTTTTGAGTACCGCATGATATTGAACCTTCTAGCAAATGAGTCTTAACACTATTAAATTAAATCAAAAGAGATTTAAAAATCGTCACAGAGATATCCAATTGAGAGACACTTTACAATCATTTTGAACCAAAGAGGTATTTAAAACATTTCTCTCTGCAGACACAAGCCTGCCCTTTTCTCAGACAACACAACAGGATACAAAAGAGTTAAGGAGAGAAACGTGATCGATACCAGAATATTTACTGGGGGGGGGGGCGGCACTAATTAACCACAGAGGGATCAATAAAGGAAATCAAAGGAAATCATCAGCACATCTGCACTGTGAAAATCAAAAGGGCACGCACACTGCAGATCGATTTTCATCCTATTTTTGCAAGATGAGGTGGCAGGGTGGCGCTATGTTCAGCCTCACTGCACTGGGGCCCTGGGATCGATTCCTGGGGTGCCATCTGTGTGGGATTTGTATGTTCCCCCTGTGTTCCCATGGGCATCATCCAGGTGCTCTGGTTTTCTCCCACAGTCCAAAGAAATACTGGTAGGTTAACTGATTTCTGGGAAAAATGGCCCTGATTGTGTCTGCCCTGCGATGGACTGGCATCCCATCCATGCTGTACCCTGCGCCTTGTGCTTGCTGGGATAGGCTCTAGCACTCCCACAACCCTGCACTGGATAGAGCTGTTAGAAAATGAATGGATGGTGCAATAAAATGATCAGCTACCAATTGCATCATCTGGGACAATAAGGGAACAGAATAAAAAGCAACATCCTGCAGCTCCTTTTCTGAGCAAGCCAATGTGTTTACCATGTACTCGCACTGAGGTCCAAAAGTAATAAGGAACTTGGTTTCAGCCAAGTGGATACAGTGCCCTCTTGCAAATGGGTTTGTGGTCTTTTGTGCGTTTGCACACTTTAAAGCCAACTATAGTTCATCAGCAACCATATCCCAACTCTTCTATTCATGCAAACAGAAACCAAAGCTAGGACAAGTATTTCAGGTGCACATGTGGTTTAACAACATGGATTTTTCACAATCAGGAGGTTTAGAAGTTTTTTACTCCTTTACATTAAGAAGTGAAATATGTCCTTTTAGGCAATGTAGTGGCTTCACAACACAAGAACTGTGCTTCTTTTGTCTACAGCACAAGAGAAACCAGTCATCTGCATCTGCTGAGAACATGACAGATGCACAGAAAAACGTTACCGAAATGCGATCAGCGCCAACGTCGCTTTTAAATCTAAAACCTCCCATGAATCACCTAAAGCATCGATTACTCTCCTGAAGGAGCAGTGGAACCAGCTCTCTTCTCTTTCATCTCCACTGCCGACACTGCGACCCCCCTCACACACAAAACACAACCACTAACAGAGAACCACAGCCACATGAATTCCAGCTCTGAACTCCAGAATCAAGCTCTACGTCTGCATACAAGTTTTCGGGTTGAAAAAGCTCCGACTACATGCAGAAGCACCACGTCTTTCCTTGAAAGGCACAACAGGCACGCTCATCAGGACCCGAGAGAAGGCAGGCAGCCCGTCGTCAGTACTGCGCCAGTACGGTCCGAGTGGCCCTGCGCCCTGCACCCTGGGAGACGTCATTCTGCTGCGAAGCTCCACCCACCTGACTGGATGAAGTGCGTGCTGAGCACCTCCAGAGGGAACGTCGAGCTGGGGTACAGAGACATCATCGACTCGCAGGCGCCCTTCATTTTTGCCTCTTCGTGTGGCAGCTGAGGGAGAGGAGAATCATAGGACAGGAGAGAACGCGATGCCTCCAGCACTTCAGACAACTTAATAAAAGATCCAGCAGAGTATTTCATGTCAGAAACAAATCTCCCATAAGAGGTTTTCAGTGAGAGGACGTTGTGTTAAGGTAAAACACAATAGTACAGTTCTGGAAGGCCCATACCTACAGGACCGAGCACAGTGAGCTGAAGCCCCGTCCCACCCACAGATCCTGCCCACAGCGCCCCTGTCCCGCCCACAGCGCCACCATCCCGCCAGCCAGCCCACAGCACCCTGGGTGAACCTGAATCCACGAGTGCCACAGGTTGTCGTTTTCTAAACAAAACACCAAAGACCTCAGTGGGATAAACTGGATTCAAACAGGATTTTTGAGATTTCACTGCAACTGGGAACCGAACCGGGACACGAGACATCTGAGTGCTCATGAAATTCAGGAGCCGAGATGTTTGCTCCTACGAGTTCCTCAGCCCTCGGGACTCCAAGGGCACTGTCATGTTTGCTTTGTTAGTACAGGAATACAGCACAGCCGCACAACACTGCCATAAACGCAAAAAAGGCTTTCTATCACTGACTTTTACTGTCATAAGACTATTAAGAATTCCTTCTTGTAAACTTTTGAAACGTTCTTAAACATATTTCATTGAAGAAATAAAAGGATAAACCCTCATGCTTGAATCACAGATAAGAATTCCCTCCTTTCTTGTAGTACAGCTGTTTCTATGAAGTCTGTATAATGCTCTGATACATTCTATTGTGAAATGACATGTTGAGTGCTTTCATTCTTATGTTAAGCATTGTTGTAAGAACAACAGAGCACTGAAAATATGTATTCAAGCTTCATATCTCCCATTTCATAAAAACCCTGCTTTCATAAAAGCTCAGAGCTGTTTAACAATTAATTCACCAGACCAGGATGGCTGGGAGACAGGGGCAGAGAGATCAGCTCACCTTTGACAAGCACTCAATGTATTCAGTCAGAAGCTTTTGATGTTCTTCGCTCTGAATCTTCTCTGCCAAACTCGTGGCATTTTCAAAAGCTGTTATCAACTGCAAAGCACAAAATGACACATCATTAAAACGTATACATTATTAGAAAACGATTGCGATTAAAAATACAACACTGCATAGTTTTGTATTGTCGCCACAGAGGGAATTTAACTCTAAACTGACAGTTTCTCACAGTCAGACCTGGGCTAGAATATGGTATACAATTTCAGTCACCACATTAGAGAAAAAGACATTAATTTCCTGGGATCAGCCTAGAAAAGAAGGAGCACATACACTCCCACCAGCAGAAGGGCAATGGGTTTCTAGCAGAAACCCCCAGCCACATTGTCGAACCCGATACCCTGGCTTCCTTCGAGAGATGGATGACACACTCGGATCAATTAGACAAAATTTTCCAAACAGGATAGATGCCTCTCATTAGTAACCTTTCTTCTGTTCTTGCAGAAACAGAAAAGTCACACGAGTCTTGACTAGAAGAACCTGTTGTTATGGACAATGTCAATGTGGCTTATATTAGACATCCTGCTACTGTGGTGCACAGTCCCTCCACCCATCACGAAAACCAGCTATTCCTGGTAAGGACACTCTTGGACACCTATACTCCAAGAGACACTACTCCCCGCAGGGCACAGACACACCAGAGACGCCAATGAGCCCAGAAGGCTGGTCTCTGGGACATGGGCAGAAACCACTGCTCCCAGAGCGAAGCCACATGGATACTGGGTGAACACGCAAGCTCCACACAGAAGGTGCCCCAGTGCAGAATTAAATGACCATTCCACTGTGCCGCTCTGAGACTTAAAACACATAACACAGGGAATCATCAAGTGAGTAACAGGAATAGGTGCCACTCAAGGCTTTGCCAGCAGCCATATCACCCTGCAACTCCCAGATGGCAGCCCACTGAAGCTCAGCAGGTGTGAGCCTGGTCAGTACCTGGATGGGAGACCTCCTGGGAAAAACTAGGGCTGCTGCTGGAAGACAGTTTCTCCGCCTTAATTTGGATGACCTATAAGACGTAACACTTTTCCCTGCTGGAATGTCTGGCACGTAGCATCACAGAGTCTTGCCACATAAAGACCAGGATCAAACAATGTCAGTGTTCCTCTTCATGCTTACGGCAGGGATGGAACTGACGATACCTACGTCTTCTCTTGATTTTTTGGAAAGGAGCGTGCGTGTTGGAGACAGTGAAATGTTGTCACCATAGAAACTGCCTCCGATATTCAGTTCACTTTCATGAATCAATGGCTGCACTCTGCGGTCCACACGCACACGAACAGGGGAACGGCTACAGACAAGAGGAGTCTGCACAGCCCACCTAGCCCAGCAGGTCCAGGGATCTCACCCAGCTGTTCCTTGAAAGAAGCCAGGGCATTGGCTTCAACAACATGGCTGCGCACACTGTTCCACACTCCTACTACCCTCTGGGTAAAGAGGATTTAAATCCTGTTCTGAGAGTTAAATGCTCTTTCACTCTGGATCGTGAAGCCTGCTGGGGGCCTGTAATTAAGGGCTTAGTGAGAAGCACACGTGTGCCTCTTGCTCAAGGAGAAGCCCTTTATGGAGTGCATAGGCACAAAGACACAAACTCTTGTTTATACAGGCCTATAGGTGAGTGTATATAACACAGGCATCGTTCATAAAATTCAAAAACGAATGTGGGCAACAGTAGATGAGAGGAACAGTAATTTAAGTGATCATTTGACTATGTGTTGAATAAATTTAGATTCAGGAATATAAAAACAACTGGATTATCATCATATTAACACATGAAGCTCTTCTTTTGATACATCCATTCTTTATATCAGTTTTGGATAATTGACATATCCCCTCCCCTACACTGACATCACTCACCAGCTGCTGGGTCTCGTTGTCCTGTTCCTGCAGACGGGCTGCCAACAGCTGGGTCATCTGCTGCCACAGCTGCAGCAGCTCCTGGCCGCCCACGCCCTCCTCCTGCTTCAGCTGCACCAGCTTGTGCCACAGCCTGGCCACCTGCACAGGGGCAGCAAGAGGGCAGAGTCACGCTCCCGCAGAGAGGGGCAGAGGGGGAGCACAACCTTGGTGACCTCCATACTCAGTCACAGCCCCTGTACTGTTCTCAATGTGCCACTTGTTCCATCTAGGGGCTCTTTTCAGCTAAAACTGCTTTTCCATGGACTTGGCCGTATGTGTATCATTAGAGCAATCCGCAGCAGTGACTCATGTCTAGATCCGAGTTCTTTGCTCCTACAGAACCACAGATCTACGTGTATTAAAGGGAACTGAATCCCATCAAAGGACTGGAGGTTGTAAACATTAACAACAACAGAAACTAATTTCTTTCAAACCCAGGAGAAACCAAAAGTCTTAAGTGCCTCTTTTTTTAATAACGCTCTGTGGTGTTCCTTCCATATAAATCACATCTAATATTTTGAAACCGGCCTCTAAAAATACGTTAAGAAATAAATTTGCCACCAACGAAAATAATTCTATCAGGCTCATTTTCCCCATCTCAAGTGCTGAAAGCTTACAAAATGACCCTGTGCATCCAGGCACATGAGGACGTGTCCCCACACATCCTGGGTTTTGCTCATTCTGATTATCGTACTGTAGTTACCGCAAAAAAACAGGCTCTTCGAGACTGCGTGCTTAAAGGAGACCTGAATTGTCTAAATGCCCTGGAGAAAAGGGCAAAGCACTGAGCAGTGGCTGTAAATATTAACCCTGCTCTGTGAGGGCATCTAGAAGCTTGACCCATGGCTGTAGAAAGAGGAGTCTCGCGCTGTGGGAAATATACCGGCCACTCTGCCCCCGTCCCCACGCGAAGAGGAACCCAGAGCCCAGCACCTGCCACGTGACCCGCGGGGCTGCACCCTGTGAAGGAGAAGACTGTCCAACACTCACCTCCAAGTGCTGCTTCTCCAGGCGGTAGATCTCCACCAGCTTCCTGCACACCTCGTACCACTTCTGTCTGTCCGAGCTGGAAACCCGACAGGGAAAACCCCTTCAGTTTAAGCCCGGGCTTGCTGTCATATCTACCCCAGTACCGTGAAATGCTTACTTGTGGGTTTTCCTCACATGACAAATGACATAAGACACGACATAGAAAATGACATCACAAGTCTTGGAGACAGGAACAGCAGTAATTTAACCAGCATTTAGATATCAGATGTGTGCAAAATTCAGCATGCACACATAAAATAAACTTTTTTTTGTTTAAAATAAGAAATAAACATGTCGGTAGCTAGATTTTACAACACATCAGGTGAAATCCGGTCTAAGGTTGGTGTAACACATCAGACGACCATAAGGCCTGCAAAGGTTATAAATGAGAGGATGCCGTGCTGCCCATCCAGCCTGTGCAGTAGTTAGTGGTTCATTGATCCCAGGATCTCATCCAGCTGTTTCTTGAAAGAGGGCAGATTATCAGTTTAAACCACCTGAAGTCCTGGGCAAAACCTTAAGCCCTGGAACTTATCTAGATCTTCTTCTTTGGACTGATTACGGAGCAGCAATATCTTCAATATTATAAATTACATATATATAATATTATATACTATCACATAAACATAATGTTTTCTATAATGAAATTCCCCATGGAATGAAGGGTTTTTACTTGCGCCAATAATGAATGACTTCCCAAGAAGAAGAAAATGTTTAATTCGCATGAGACTTAAGACATTCTTCTTCTATAAACTGGGGGTATTAATGAAAACAAACAGCTTATCAGCTGATTCAGAGCATGTTTTTCAGTTGCAGTGTCTTTTACCTCCTCTCGTAAGAGAAACCCCAGGACCACAGAGGCTGAGCTCACCCACATTCACTTTGTTGCCGTGTCAACAGAAACATCATTTTAATCAGAGCAAAAAAGAACACGAGACTCGAACAAACACTTGTGTCACAGCACGCTGACCTTACCTTTCATAGTGGGCGAGGAGCTTCTGATAGACCTTTGGTAGTTCAGCTTTGAAATCAGTTTGGTTACTTTTCTCATAAAGGCTTGCCAAACCCTAGTCAAATAAAACATAACACGCACATTTCAGACAAACTGAAAAAGAATGAAAAAAATGCATTCAGATCTAGTTGTCAGCGGGAGTCAACCTGTAGGATATGTCACACTTCCTTAAAGGTTTTGAAAATCCCCCCAGTAGCACTTTTTCGTTAAAAAACTTAAAACTTTGCTAGGATTTGTGCCACACACAGGCCAGGTTTAATTTTGAGAACATTTGTCAGAGTCTGCTCTCGCTGCACCAGAGCCTCTGTTCCCCCTAGAGCTCCTTGTGCGATAAAGACCTTGAGGCTCCCCCACTGCCAGCCCAGAGCCACAGAGACCACGACTGGACAGGAAAGACATCCGCCAGGCAGCAGTACAGTCAGATACCTGGCGCGTTGCACTCATTGCACGCAAGCTCTGGGTCAGAAACATGGAGAACTTCCTCACACTTCCTCACACTCCATTCACATACTGTACTTTACTGAGGCCCAGCAGGCATGACCATCTACTGGAAACAGGAATCGGAGCAGCTATAAAACACGCGACGTCGAGACCCACAGCCAGCCAGCAATCCTAATCCTGAGAACAACAGCAGAACCTTCATTCCCCTCTCAACAACCAGGGACCCGCTGAGCACGCTCAACTGCTGCTTCAGACAAAAACAGCAGGTCTTCCAATGATGGCGCTTATAAATAACATAAACAATCCTTAAAATTATGAAGCACTTTTCTGGACATTCCACTGAAAGCACTTCACAGGCAATGAGGACTCTCCTCAGGGCTTAGTCTCCTTCTCAAATCTGACCCCTCACCCCTAAAAACAAGTGCTCTCCATTTCAGGATCTTCCCTAGCCTCCTCCCTCACTCCTTTAACAGAGTATTTCAGCAGGACGGCTCGCAGAGAGCTGCTTTAGTCACAATTCACGTCAAAACTATATGCAAATATCTATATTCATTTCTAGATAGCAGTTTTGCTTTAGTTTCCATTTCAGCCAGGTACTTTCATTGAAAATGCGTTCTGCAACATTAAGGTCTTCAGCTCTTCTCCGAGATGAACAATAGACCTAGAACCTGCCAAACATCCTTTTCACAAAAGGTTAAAAGATTTATTTTTTTTCCGCACCACAAGAGATGCACTGAAAAAATAAACCAAAGGAAGATCTTCTCGGTGAGCAAAAGGCTGCTCACAGCTCCTCACAGCTACTGACTGAAAGATAATCTCACTAATTTACATCTGACCTCCGTGAACAGGTCATGCTCAGATATTCATTAAATCCTCCATAAACAATACTGGTTAAGAGTGAAATCTCCTCGCACAGCTATGAGGTCAGTCCCAGCGAGCCGCAGACATAGCAGTGGAGCCTGAGCTCAGACGCACCAATGTACAGAACACTCCCCACCCCATGAGACTCGTGTTCACGTTTGTCACAGATGTACAGCCTGAGAGAAGAAATGAGCTCTGGCTCGGTCCAGGAGCAGGTTTCTGGACACAGACATTGCTGGCTGGGGCCGCGCGGGGGGGAGAGACATCACCACCATGGCGCTGTGACAACCTGACATGACAATCCGATACAACGCAGCCAAGATTTTGGATAACTTGCTAAACATTCTTGTCCTCCTCCTTCACTGTGAGATTTGCCTGCACGGCCATCCTTTTTGCTTATGAAAAGAGATCCTCAAAGTTTAGCAGTAATGTGTAAGAGCCTGCGTCACCAGCTACTGAAGTCTGCATCGGGCTTTAGAAACTCCTTCCCGCACGACCAGACAGGAAGAAGAGCACAGCAGAGCTAAACCTTGTGCACATACTCACAGGAAAGACCCCCCAGGACAGGCAAGCCACGGTAACTCAGGCTGCAGGGTGCCACATCACTGCGGGCACTGTGGGATATCTGTCATATGGCCCCGGCCATCAATCCCAGAGTGCCCCACTCCCTCCACCCACCTGCCAGGCCAGCAGCTGCTCGGGCTCCAGCTCCGCCGCCTTCCTGTAGGCCGTCTGCGCCTGCTCGGGCTGCTCCAGCTCAGCTGCTGCCACCCCGATGAACACCCAGGCGTTGTAGTTGTTCTTCTCCAGCTTCAGGACAGCCTGCAGCGACAGCAGCGGTCAGAGACGGGCCGGAGCTCGGCCTCTCAGCCCTGGGGCTCAGGAGACGGCAACGCTGACCACTGCACTGAAACCGCTGGACACCGCGCACAAGCCTCAACACTTCGACACCAATAACTTTAATGGGGCTGAACGCCATTCAAATAGTCAAATCAAGCAGATTTGTGTTTAACATAAGGATCTGAAAAGGTCGCGGAGAGCTCAGGCGGGCTAGTATAGACTCTAGGAAACAACAGGCTTCAGGCTCTGAGCCGCCAAGCCCGGTGGTAAACCTGATAAAAACACATCCTTGAGAACCAGAATTATAGCCAATGGTTATAGCCGAGCTGAGAAACAAAATTCACTGAAGACTCAGCTCATGGCAGCACACTGAGGTCTTCCATGAAGCCCTGCAACACAACAACACAACTGGCGCGCAAGGAGAAGAGTGAACTGTGCAGCTGTAGTGTACTCCTCCGAGAACAGGGATGCTGCTGCAAGACACTAAAGCACAAAATCCCATTCCATGCACGCTGGAACATATTGTTTAGTAAATAAACGCAACCAGGGTGCTAACAACAGAAATCCAAACATCACAAGGAACAGCAGAGACAAGAGACACTTACCTTGCAGTGTTTCAAGGCCTCTTTGTATTCTTTATTTTTTATGGCTTCTCTGGCGCTTTTCAAGGCCGATTTCACCTCTTTGTTAGACATGGTTTCTGCAAAACATCAGACAATCAACAGACAATTGCAGGCACAATTCCACACCTCTGACAAAGCCTTGGATAACGATCCAGGATCCCACTGCGCACGTCCCTGGTAACACATCGGCAGTCTTCTGTCAGGCAATGACCTTCTCAGCCCTGTCAAGTGCTCAGACAGTTGGAGTTATGTTCTGCTCCACAAAAGAAACGCAGTACTTAGGCTGGTATCTCCATTTAAAAGTCCAATAGATCCAGTCTTGAACTTCTTATATAGAGATACCAAACAAAATCACAGTGAATGTAAGCACGTGCATACGTCACACTGTCAAAATGAAATAGTACAAAGGCTACTATGGGGTATAACCTCCTCGAGAATGAACACAACCCCAGGCAGTACTGATGCACAGACCCGATCAGCCTCTGGACAGACTGCTGTGGGATGTTCCACCACACTTCCTGTCCAGCCGCAGACAGCTGGAGAAAGCTGGCCAGTCCAAACTGTCCCCCCGTCCGTGGCGTTGGCAGGGTCAAGACAAAGGTCAAAGCCCAGCAAGCCTTCAACGCTGGCATTATGCCATTATAACCCAAACACGTGCTGTCTTTGTCCTGCTGGGACAGTGACACCTCTGGACGGGCTTGCAGGAAAACCTGTAGAAAACCTGCTCAGGGACTTACTGCCGAGCAGAAGGACTGCCCTCAATTCTCCTGGTACTCACAGTACATATAACTAACCTCATTTGACAGATAATGCACAAAATTGTACTTTGTCATTATTTGTTAAAAAAGAAGTTCAGTTTCTTTGTGTGAAAAAGTAAGTTCCGTAATAACTTGAACTAACTGTTGCCTTTTAGAGCTGATCTGTCCCTCACAGCCCCCCTCTTCCTTACAGAACCACTCCAGCTCGGTGGTGCTTGAGGGCCTTCTGGTATTCACTGCTCTCTTCAGGTCACAAAAGCTCTGTGTTTTTTTAGTAAATAAGGACTTTTTGAATTATTTTTATACACAATATATTAATTAGGATCAAGTCTTTTTGCATAGACTATTATTAAGATCACTTTATTGGCCATATACAATTTCTTGCATTAGGAATTTGTCTTTTCACAGACCCCAGCTTGCTCTCCATGAGACACACAGACAGGGAGAGAAGCTGGGGGTCAGTGCGCAGGGTCAGCCGTTTATACGGCGCCCCTGGAGCAGCTGGGGTTAAGGGCCTGGCTCAGGGGCCCAGCGGAGTAGGATTCCTCTGCCGGCCACGGGATTTGAACCGGCAGCCTTTCAGCCACAGGCGCAGATCCTGAGCCACAGAGCCACCACACCAGCCTGGTTTTTGCAATGGATTAATATTTCCTATAGGCCTGTTTTCTTCTGCATCCTTTCTGTTTCTGCCTCTCAAACTTGATTAAGTCTCAGCTAAAACCTCAACGTGCATTTTCCATTTGGGAAACATCAGGTGACTCCTCCTGCTGCACTTCACTGATTGTATCTCAGCAAGACGGCTGGCAAAAGCACTGCTGTAGGCACAATTCACAACACACTGTATGCTTGAGCAAGAGCACAGGTCTGTGTCCATTAACTTCCAAAACTGGAACAAAACTCTTCCCTTCCAACCGAGCGATTTCATCTAAAATGTAATTCTTCAGATCTTCTCCGAGTTTAAGAACAGAGTTAAACTTGCAAAACATCTTCTTCATATGAGATTTACTGCAAGGATAAACCCAACGTAGATCAGCTCAGTGAGCACTTTCTCCGCTCGGGTACAGCGAGATAGCTCATTTACAACAATAATTGGAGAGACTACTCTCAGAATAAAACAAATTATTTTGCCTATGTGAACAGGTCATGTTTATACGTTCATAGCTGAAACACACACACACACACACACACAATACTGCTGAAGACTGAAACCAATCAACAAACCTATCTTCTTCCTATTGAAATTACAAATAACATCATACACATTGCTAATAGAATATCTGCACCCTCTTACAAAATGTTCACTTTTTGTTGCTTTATAGCCTGGGATGAAGGTTTATTTTACTTTTCTCTGCACATCCTATCCCAGAACTACACAGTAAAAAAGATATTCTAGTAATTTTTAGAAAATTAAATGTAAAAACTGAAGCAGTGTGGCTGGTTAAGCGTCCAAATCTCTTGCAACACACAGTCCTAAATTAGCTCAGCTGTAACCTACTGCCTCCAAGATATCACACCAAGTTAATTGGCCTCCACCAGTGTTTAACTGTACTGATCAACACGATTCTCAGACAAACAGAGCAGTCCCTACGGGTCGTCTCTGTTGGGCAGTGTATTTCAAAATGAAACTGTAGAAAGTGGCAGATCAGGTGATGGGCATTAAAAATGTGAAGGTCTTCAAAAATCCCTTCAAGCTCTCTTGGGGCACAGTTAAGAGTATCACTAAGTGGAAGGCATATAGCATCACGTAAAAGCTGCCTAGGCAGACTGGATGACCAAGCAAGAAGAAGACTGACCAGAGAGGCTGCCAAGAGGCTACTGGCCCTGTTAAGGGAGCTACAGGCTTTTATGGCTGAGACTGATCAAAGTGTGCATATGACAACAACATCCCAAGCACTCCACACATCTGCCCAGTATAGCCGGAGGGCGAGAAGGAAGACACACTAAAAAATAACAGCAACCAAGCATTTGTGTGATACTGCAAGTGTATGATTTTTGCTAAATGAACATGCGAGGCTTTTGAATTTAGGCAAAAAAATTCAATTCGGCACAAACCCAGCACTGCACACCATCCAAAGAAGACCATGCCAACAGGGAGGCATAGTGGTGGCGCCACCATGTTACTGGGGTGCAGAAGAGTCCTTGAGGAAAACCTGCTGCCCTGTGCAAGAGAGCTGAACCTGGGACAGAAGTTCAGCTTTGAGCACGACAACAACCCAAAGCACAGAGCCAGAGCTACAGTGGAGAGGGCAAGGAACAAAACGTGTCCCTGAGGAAGTGCAGAAGACT